CCATCGCGAACTCCACCACCGCCGGGCAGTCCCCCCGGTCGTGGCAGTCCCCGCAGTCCTCCAAAAAGGCGGGGAAACTCGCGTCGTGGGGGCTGAGGTCGCCGGCCTTCAGAAGCCCCGCGTAGGCCCCGAGCAGGCGGTGGTGGACCAAATGGCGCCGCGGGTCCTTCAGCACCCGCCCCCGCGCGTCGTGGTAGCTTGCGGAGCGCGCCAGATCGACGGTTCCGCGCGTTTTTTCACTTTTTTCATCATTTTCGTCGTTTTCGCGGAGTTCTGCCGTTTCGCCGGGGTCGTCCGCGGCTTCCGCGGCGTCCCGGGCGGAATCCGCCTCGAGAAGCCCGCGCAGCCAGCCCGCGTGGAGGTCGGAGAGGCTCCACGCGCTCAGCGAATGAATGGCCGCCCACACCGGGCGAAGCCGACGCTGCCGGATCAGGGTTTGGATAACATCCGCGCGCTGCCATGTCAACATCGCCCCCAAAGGAGGCCCCTTGGCGTGATGGGGATCCGGCCCTTGGGCGGCGGCCCATCGCTGAATCGCCGCGGCATCCTCGGGAAAGACAAGGGCGGGGTCGATGTTAAACCGGTCGAACCTCGCGAGCCCCTCGAAGGACGCCAAGCTCGGATAGTCCGCCAGCGCATCGTTGTTGGGTTTCGTTTTTCGCCGGATTTCGTGTGCCTTCGCGAGCTCGCGGCGTACGCGCAGGGCGAGTTGCGTGGCGCAGGTTTCGTACGCGGGGAGGGCCGCATCGCGCGGGGCGAAGCCGACCAAAAACGCCTCCACCGCCGCGGGGGACGTCCAATCGACCAGGCGCGCGAGCGCCCCCCCGGCGGCCGCGTTCAACGGCGGCAGCCTCGAGTTCACGGCGAGGGCGAGGGCGGCGGCGGGGTCGTGCGCGCAGAGCGCCTCGATCACCCCGCGAAAGACGGCGATCTCGACGTCGGAGAACCCCCCGTCGGGGCGGTCGGTCGCCTGCTGAAGAAGCCGCGTGATGAGACGATTCAGTTCTGAGGGGACTCGCGCGAGGAATCGGCCCTCCAACTTTCCGAGAAGGCGAAATTGCCGCGCGCGGAGTTCGCCCTGCACGCCCGACAGGGTGTGTTTGACGTAAATCCGCGGGAGGCCGTCGTCGACGTCGTCACGGGCCTCCAGGCCGGTCGCGAGGTCATTCGTGAGGGACCGAAGACCGCGCAGGGCCTCCTCGGCCGGCTGGCGGTTGAGCCGCTGAAGTAAAGGCTCGACGCGCAGAATTCGGCCGAGCCCGGCGTGGCCGTAGATATCCGTCAGGAGCGCCTTCAAAAGAAATGGAGCCGCTTTGCAAGGGGGGAAGCGGTGGTCGAGAAGTTGAAGGGTCTTTTGGGAGGCCGGGCGTATCAGGCCTCGTAAGTGGTGCATGGGATCAACTTGAAGGATGTGAGACGCGTGGCCAATGGAATGCCACCCCTTGTCTTTGGGTTCCTCTCTTTTTGGTTAACCCTTTTGGAAAATTAAGGTCCTAAAAAGCCCAGTGGGATTGGTGAGAGGCCTCAGCAAACAAGAAAGAAAAAGAGAAAATAAAGTACGGATGCACATGCATAAAAGAGAAGCTAATGGACTCAAGGCGTCCGTATGCAAAAGACCTGTCCCTTTTCCTTTTGGAAAAGAAACGAGACGGTCTTTTTGATATTACGTGGTATCATTATTTTACTCAGATGAGAAAATGAAAAATCGAAGTAATTTCTGGACCTCGAAGAAGCCGCGAGCTTCCGGTAGCCCGCCCTCCGCTTCTTCACCCCTGGCTTTTTGTTATTTTATGCATTTCCAGTTTACGCCTTGGGGGTCTTGAAGTGGTTTGCGATGCGGCGGTTCACAACTTTGAGGTAGCGGCACCTGCCGGTCCCCGTTCGTCGTCGTTTGATCGCCTTCACCGACCAATTATAGCGCCGTCGGCTGGGCCGGGGGTAGGCGCAGGCCGCGCACCGCTCCCACTGCACGTGGTAGGCGTTGCGGCCACACCGGCGGCAGAGAATGTGGGTCCGCCCATGGCGCTGCCCCATCGACGTGGTACCTTTGGTCATGGTGAGTGAACGAGCCTCTGGTCCTATTCACGGTAATAAATATGATAGAAATATATAAATAAAGAGAACAAAAAGAAAGAAAAATGGAGAAAAAATCAATAAAAATGGAAATGGCATCCCTTCCCCAAAAAGTGTTCGCCCCTCCTAAAAAAAAGAGGCACGTACTTCCAGAGTCATCCACGGGAATCACGTTGGGGTTTAAACGAGGTGACAGAAACCCTATGAGTATTCTGAATCATTACAATGAAGGATTAGGTTAATTAAAGAAATGTACACCAAAGTGAAAGGAATACATCGGGCAATTTGCCAAGGTGGGTCCATCACCACAATACAATAAAACCCCTGCAAAATCACCTTTCACGCATCCGAATAGGTACACAACCATGCGGTGCACGGATCATCCCCGTCCTTGTGAAGCTCCACCTCAGTTCCATCCGATGTCATACGGTTCGTCGCCTGATTTAAAATAGGAATGGAGGCAATAAAAGGGATATGCCAATGACTTGTCTTATGTTCTTCCGTTTCGCTCGGATTTTGGGGGGGGACCGACTGCACCCAGATGGAATAGGGCCTCGGGGTGTGAATCTCCAACGAGGTCTGGGCCGTCGAAGGGTCGAAAAAGACGGAGTAGGTGATCCGATACCGCTGCCGCCAGCGCAGAAAGTACCGCGGGCGGAGAATGCTAAAGTGGTGATCCCGCATCTGATCGTTGGAGACGATAAAGCAGTTGGGATGGCGAACGGCGATATAAAGCCAACAATAATCATCATTTAGAAAGCCCGGGCTTGCCAGAATCGCCCGCTGCGCCGTCCAGGTTGTGTAAATCGCCGCGCTGGACTCCTCGAGCTCGGGCAAATGCCGCTTGTGCAGCACGATCAGCGGCTTCCGTCCTTGCGCCAAAAGCACCTGACGGAGGTCCTCGATGAGTTGAAACTTCGGCGCGACGTCCACCGGGGTGGGCGGGCAGCGCCGCTTCGAAAGCGGGACGTCGTTCGGCTCCTTCCCCTGGCGCCGCAGAAGCGCCGCCTTGGCCTCGGCGTACCACCCGCCCAAGCCGTGATAGCCGACATTCGCGCCGTCGATCACCGTATCGTACGCGATCGCCTCGACCTGATCTTGAAAACGCGTGAACTCCGCGCGACGATTGTCCTTCTCCGCCTCGGAAATGCGTTTCTCCGGCTCATAGTGGCTGGCGATGTCGAACCGGGGTTTGATGAGCCGCTCCACGATATCCTCCAAGAGCCCCCGGCGCTCGTCCGGGCTGAGGTCGAAGGAGTCGACCCCCCCCCGCATCGCCCGCAGCGCCCGCCCGTCGCGGTCTCGCAAATCGACGTTTCCGCCCCGCCGAGGACCGCGCGGACCC